GATATTTTGTTTACTCTTCCTCTGGAAAGAGTTTTCTTCCTAACTTATTTTCATACATATTTCTTACAGGAACCTGATTCCAGTAGAAGAGGTCTTCTTCCAATTCAGTTAACTGTCAATCTAGCTCTGCTTTCCACAGGAAAACTGAATTTGAGCGTTGCCCTCTGCCTGCATCATTTTCGAGATACCATTCATGATTTAATGCTTAAGGAATATAGAAGACAGTAAATATGAATTCACAATGAAAGACTGCCAAATATGTATTCTGAATTTTGCCATAAAAGTACAACTAAGGCTAGATGGACCTGTAGAAATTCTTGGCTGGTAAAATACATTTCAACCCTATCAGCTTTCGTGAAGCTGCAGCCCTTTGGGCCAGCTGAAAGGCAGAGCACTCTATTATTGACTTTCTTTCCTCTTTCCAGAAGAATACTTATTGCAAACAACAAATATTGCAGGACAGTCTTCAGTTTGAGGACTGTTACATATGGTTCAATTGAATTTCAGTTCTCCACATTAGACCTAAAGAGCAACAGCCCAAGATCTGAAGCCGCCTTCAATCTTCAATACTGTGGTCCCTTTTCTGTCAGAATATCGTTTTCATCTTAGTCTGCCTTAAGGGCATTCTGCTTTCCTTCTCTGCAGCTCCTGCTGGAAGGCCATGCAGACCTACATTTATCTGATGAACGAGTCTTGCACAAACATGGCCAGCTTGCATACATTTGGCTTAAGTTAAAAAAGATGGGTGGAGAAGTTTATCCTTCTATAGATACACTTCTGTATCTTTTCTACATATAGTTTCTATATATTCTCTAGAAAGTAATTGTATCTTCTATTAATTTGGCTTATTTAACCTTGTAAGCCTTTTAGCATAATGTTTTGAACCCTTTTGTAAGGCTTTTTCATTCCCCTGAATCAACTTCTCTACACTCAAAATTAGACAATTTTGTTCTGTATCTTTTACATCAATACTCCAGTGCCTCACAACTTTATATTCATCAGCAAATTGTGTAAGGAGATGTCTGCTTTGTCGCTGTTGCTCATGAAGTTAGAAATAATGAGCTAAACAAGTCCAGAGGTAAATCCTAGGGGTGAGGGGGAAAAGAAAATCTTTCATCCCGTCTCCCCTTTCAGTTTGTTACTTCTTGCCCATTTTTCCACTGTTTTACACTAAACATTTATTTTCCTTGCTGTCTGTAAACTATAGAAGTTGTTGACCTATGTCACCTAACAAAATACACAAAGCATGTATTAAACAGAAAGAATGCTAACAAAGCAGCGTTTATAAAAAGGCATACAAGTATTCCTCCTCTACCTAAGTAGGGACTGCTTTCTCAGGACCCTCTGGAAGCTATGCAGGATTATTTAAAGGCTATATCAGTGCAAGATCTCTTATCCCTCCTTGTCAAAGAAGAGTCATATGCAGTTACTCTAAGAGCTATCTTAAAACAACAGGTCTTTCCTGGTTCAGCCAGCCATTAGAACAGCATTTCTAAACGTGTTTCCAAGAGTTACTATAAACACTATATATTAAGATGTCACATGAGCACAGCAAAGACTCACTTGAATAAGTTAACTGCTTTCAAAATCATCTGTTGCGGAAAATGCTAACGTGATCACTGGAAAAACCAGAGCCCCAGATACTGCACATACTAACCAACATCACCAAATTATCCTATCAGTCTCCTTTCACAGCTATGGCTCTGCTGGTGGAATTGGCTTCATGGCTATGGGTGCTGGAGCACTGTCAGGTTTTCATGCTGCTGGAAAAATGGCATATCACCATGTTATTAGATTTATTATACAGTCTATTTGCCACTTCACCACTGTTTAATTTTTTTTCCTTTTTAAAACTGAATTGGAAGCAGTCTGAACAGTCATTAAAATGCAACAGCTTCCTAATTTCTCCTGGGAAAGAAGGTATAAGCACCCTGCCTCTTTCATTCTGGATGTGATCTGAGAAATAACAATGCAAATATATTAATATTGCATGGTCAGAACTACTTTCTATTAATATGCCATTAATATAATGACCTTTGCACTACATTTAAAGATCATGAAGATCAATATTTATTCTTAGGTCAGAGGAAAAAATAATAAAAAAATCAATCTTGCAGTAAAATGAGTCATATTTAATATATCCCATCATAATAATTAAGTTTATATATATAAAGTAACACTGATATGTGAATAATGGATGCTATGACAGATGAGTTTCCCTTCTCAAACAGCTTTATGTAGATAATCTCAGAAATGGAAAGACTAAATGAGTCTATACACCTTTCTCCCTGAGTGCTTTGCCAAGTTCCTTTTTCCCCTACATCTTTTCACATACACTGCTATGTAGAAAAACAAGAAGTCCTATAGACCTAAACCTATAGACTTTCAGGTCCTCCTATACACCAAGAACACTGTTGTGCTACTGCTAGCATTCCTGTAATTTCTTCATTTCCATTTCTAGATATCCCTTGAAAAGGGCCTAGAAACTGAGGAATCTTTCATGGCTGTTCCAAGCATTATCGCTCTACTTCAATGCTTTGGAAAAAAGTGTACAGGAATGCCAGTGGATACAAACATCCTTATTTTCTTTGCAAGGCTACGATAACTTCAACTTCATGCAATTTTTTGTGTGTTCTATAAGCGTTTTGTTTTGGAGGGGAACGACCTAAATAAAAAGATCAGAACAAGGGAAAGAAAAACATACGTTTGAGCTGCCCATATGAAAAACTTATTAATACATTACATGTTTCATGGTAAGTGTGAATCATCATCAGATAATAGCAATTATCCATACATAGTGACTCTCAAAGAACCTTAAAACAAGCCACCCATACTGCTTCAGATGGATAAAATGAGACAGATACGAAATTACTCCTATAAGGTCAGCCAGTAGTAGAGCCAGGATTAGTATTTCTAGAACTACTCCCATAAGGAAAATCACTGCTGATCCCCTTCTCTTCTCTAAACAGCAGATGCTCTGCTCTCACTGCAAATCCAATCCATTCCCACAATAAACTTACAACAACTTTGTACATTTCTGAAAGTAAATAAATGTGGCTAATTTTTTTTCCTTCAATGCTCATAAATAATTTATTTCTAAAGGTATGAGCAGTAAGGCCTCTGACATACAAAAGAGATGGGGAACACACCCAGGGTCTGAATGTCTTTAGTTACAGTGATAGGAACTGGTAAACAAGTTACAGAGACTAAAGCAGCCCCCCTAGGACTTTCTTTTCTGGCCTGGCAAAGGGCAACATAGGAGTCATTCATTCAGTCAGGCTACCTGGCATTAAAGCAAATGTCACATATTGCCTTTGTCATCTCCTCTATTTTAATAGAGCATTTCAAATAATTTGTTTGCAGTATTGTATTTAAGATGGAAAGTTCTGAGACCTGTGCTTTTTTCAGTTTTCTTTAGAGAAAAGCAAAATCCCTACCTGCCTTGTAGGAGTCTCAGCTGTTTCTTCTGCTCTGTTTAACACATAAAAGCCTTTAATAGTTTGAACTTATTGTGAGATGCAAAATACAGGAACTGTCTACGTGGAAAACCTTAATCAGTCAGGAAGTTGGTAAATTATGTCTTCATGTCATCCATATTGAGTGTCCATTACTCCTGGACATAGCACATTAACTGACTCATTAGCTATTTCAAACCATATGGACTTAGGTTTGGGTGGGTTGCTCTGATAATATCCTGAGGTGAGCTTCCTAATTATTGTAATTATGTGATCTCTATCATGGGGCCAGTCACACAAAATAGTGTCAGGAATCTTTAAAATGGGTGTCAGTGCACCTAGACAGTGACTGAGTTGAGCAACATGCCCCCTGGATGTTGAAGATCCCTTGATACTGCAAAAAGTAATTACTTTAAGAGTTCTAAGAAACTGGCAGCAAGTACGGTAACAACTGAATAAGCTCAGCAAGAGCACGGGACTGCGTACCCATACACAAACACACATGGATTTCTCTGCAGAAATTTAGAAAGTTTGATGCCTTGCTGTCAATGGCCTTAATACAAAGATATTACAACTCTAATGTAAAATTAGCTATCATATTTTGATCAACAAGGACATGTAGGGTGATTAGAAGTACTAAAACATCAATGTTAAGTAACACAGAAACATCTCAGTGACACAGTGAGAGAAGTTACATGTTGTTCACCTACCGTAACAACTTCAAGGAGATTTGTGTGTGCAGCTACAAGATCTCACATAATTTACTTTTATACTCAACTTCAGATTTGAAGAACAAGAGGAAAAAATAAATGGAATGCTTATCTAAAATTTAGATTATACTACTTTGAAACAAAGGTAAAAACAAATACAGCTTCAGGACACTGTTAAAATAGCTTGTTGTATTATTAAGTACTTAAAGAAAGTGCTTACTCTGGGAGTATGTCATGACACAGAAAATGCAATTGATACTAACATCATGTGTTTTTTTTCTATCCTCTGAAGCTTATTCTAGCAAAAGGAGTAGACCGGTCCTTTTGAGCCCTGGATCAGGATAAAACTCAAATTTGCTCCTTCTACTTTTAAAATGCCTCTTAGGCACCTATATATATTCCAGAAGTCAGACACTGAACAGGACAATACAGCTAAACATACATCTAGACTGGGGAAACCATATATTTAAAAGCTGTTTGTGAATATAAACTTGATCTAAGTTTTGAAGTGATTTACACTTGTATCTTTACCTCAAAAGTACACTACTGTGTCTACATTACTGAAGAACCAGTCCAGAGTTTTAGTAGTAGTTACCAAACACAACAGAAAGCACAGCACTATCACTTTCTTCTGCAATAGCATAATAGTAACTATACATGTATTAACTCTGCAGAAAAGCACAGAAGACTTGTTCATATATCACACATCAATGCACATACAGTAAACAAAATAAAAAAATAAAATCCTGAAAATACACAACTGCTAATGCAAATATCTAAACAGTTTGTTACACCACTTCTAAAATATCATTTGGAGTAACTGGAAAACACCCACCTGAGCTGCATGAAGGATCGACTCCTCACCAGTAGGGCCCGTGGCTTTCAGCTGCTTGCAATGATGCAACATTAATAAATAAAGTAAGAGTAATTTCATTTTCAGGGCCTGTGTCTTAAGCCTCCAACAATGACACCTTTAAGGAATATGAGTTTATTCCAAAAATAATATAATAAACAGCAGTTACAGTAGTAAATATTTAATAGATGAAAATACACACTAATAGAAGAAAGGAAAACCTCTTCCCTTACCTTTCATTCAGATTCAATATTCCAGCATAACAGCAAGCCTTACATTTCTTCCTTCATCCTGTTAAAAGAACAGAAAAAAAAAAAATACTCCACTGAAAACAACTGTTCCTGACTACACAGGTCACACTCAGTTGTGTGCTAGCAGGATTTGCATGTTTTTACTCTTGTTAGCATACACACCTTTCTCCTATAAGGATTCTTGAATTTAGCAGTAATGCTGGTTAAAACTTGAAGCTTCCACCATAGTCAGGGTTTCCTGAAAAACAAACAAACAAACAAACCCCATATATACCTATAATTAATTTACCCATTCTTCTCCCCCACATCTCATTCCTAAACTGTTAATTTGAACCAACTGTGAAGAGGAAATGGAGGCTTTAACTTGACTAATTTTTCTTGGGAGGGTTGTTAATTGTCTGATTTCTATCAATTTCTATCACAGAATTTCTAGGTTGGAAGAGACCTCAAGATCATCGAGTCCAACCTCTAACCTAACACTAACAGTCCCCACTAAACCATATCCCTAAGCTCTACATCTAAACGTCTTTTAAAGACCTCCAGGGATGGTGACTCCACCACTTCCCTGGGCAGCCCATCCCAATGCCTCACAACCCTTTCGGTAAGGAAGTTCTTCCTAACATCTAACCTAAAACTCCCCTGGCGCAACTTAAGCCCATTCCCCCTTGTCCTGTCACCAGGCACGTGGGAGAACAGGCCAACCCCCACCTCACTACAGCCTCCTTTAAGGTACCTGTAGAGAGTGATAAGGTCGCCCCTGAGCCTCCTCTTCTCCAGGCTGAACAAGCCCAGCTCCCTCAGCCGCTCCTCATAGGACTTGTTCTCCAGGCCCCTCACCAGCTTCGTCGCCCTTCTCTGGACTCTCTTGAGCACCTCCATGTCCTTCTTGTAGCGAGGGGCCCAAAACTGAACACAGTACTCAAGGTGCAGCCTCACCAGAGCTGAGTACAGGGGGACAATCACTTCCCTAGCCCTGCTGGCCACACTGCTTCTGATACAAGCCAGGATGCCGTTGGCCTTCTTGGCCACCTGAGCACACTGCTGGCTCATATTCAGCTGACTATCAACCAATACTCCCAGGTCCTTCTCTGCCTGGCAGCTTTCCAACCACTCCTCTCCCAGCCTGTAGCTCTGCTTGGGGTTATTGCGCCCCAGGTGCAGGACCCGGCACTTGGCCTTGTTGAACTTCATGCAGTTGACCTCAGCCCATTGGTGCAGCCTGTCCAGATCCTCCTGCAGAGCCCTCCTACCCTCGAGCAGATCGACACACGCACCTAGCTTGGTGTCATCTGTGAACTTACTGAGGGTGCGCTCAATGCCCTCGTCCAGATCATCGATGAAGATATTAAAGAGGACCGGCCCCAGCACCGAGCCCTGGGGGATGCCACTAGTGACTGGCCTCCAACTGGATTTGACTGCATTCACCACAACTCTTTGGGCCCGGCTATCCAGCCAGTTTCTAACCCAACGAAGCATGTGCCAGTCCAAGCCAAGAGCAGCCAGTTTCTTGATGATAAGTAGATGATAAGTAGAAAAAAAAAAAAAAAAAGAAAAAAAAAGGAAGCCTTGTCTCCATTTTGGCCCAACAGGAAATGAGATTTTCTCAGTCCCTCCTACAAAGCACAGCAATAGCCTATTTATAGGGTAAAGATGGCCTCCTATTATTTGCTCAGAGTTTTTCTCAGGTAAAATTATTGAAGTTTGTTGCCTTTTCAGAAGTTATAGGCTTAATGCTTAAAAAAAAAGCAATATAAAAAAGCCATTACCAAAATTTGTGGGTTTATTAATTGATTTGTTAGCTCTGTTTTTTATTAATAAGCACCTGGATTCAGGTAATTTTATTATTCAGGATTTTGATGTATCTAGGAAGCTACCTCTTCTTAGTAAGTCATTCTCTGTTTGTGATTTCTGTAGCTCCTGTTATATTTCCATGCATTTATCTCTAAATGCTTCTAACTCTTCTAATAATGATAAAAGCTTAAACTTCTAAACAAAATCTTTCTTAAAAAAAAAAGCCACAATTCTGCTGTGGAATCTATTTTCTGTGACTTGTACAATATATGTTACTAGTCTCTTTACATTATATATTAAATTACACAGTCTTTAAAATACATGATATCTAAAGATACACAAGACTTCAGATGGTCTTGCCTCAGGATAGTGTTTGAGTTACAAATTTAATTTTTTCTAGGCTTCTGCAGCTTTGAAGCTGAAACCTATCTTTTCTAGTACTTCAGTTTCAGCTACCTATACTGTATTTTTGTTGCATGAGTCAACTGGATGTTACGTAGCCTGCCTGAAGCTCTCAAAAAGACCAATACAGCATATACTATGTTCACTAACAATGAAACATACCCTGGTGTTCCCCTTTCCTATTTTCACTTTTGCTCTACTGATGACAGTAACATACTCTGTAGCCATTATTTATTACAAATTTTCAGCTTACTGCCTTCTGGAATTTGTTTTCTTGAACTCTTGGAATCATCACAAAAAGTGCCCTGGTCTGTTAGTGGGGAAAAAGAAAATGGAGCCATTGCCTGAAAGATGTGGCACTTCAGCTAGAAGTGCAGTTAAACAGCTATTCGGGGCCCTCTTCTACTAAAATGAAGTCTGAAGGCCAAGGGGCGGCTGGCTGGTGGATTACAATGACATAGTACAAAGATCTTGGCTAAGTGAAGCCCAAGGAAAAGCTTTTTTGGGGCCTTCAACTTTAAAGTGTATGTTCAAGCCTATTGTGGTAATAAATACAGAGTTCCACCTGAATTGCTGCCTATCACAGACCTGTTTTGTATTTTAGTCTTTGAGGACTTGTAGCTGAGGAGGAAGACTTTTTCTAAAAGGAGAAGGAAATGGAAAGATCATGTTTTTTTTGCCATGGGCTTTCCATGCAGAGTGCTGACAGGGTGGGCCCTGTTAGTAAAGCGAAGGTCACACAAAATGTCTGCTTGGGGTCAGGGGTGTGTCCTGGGAGCAAAACGTTTAAAAAATATCTATCTATCTATCTATCTATCTATAAGGCTCAGCGTCCTCTGACTAAAAAGTTAATGTCCACCAGCTCAGAAGTGGTGATGGGACTGGCCCACAACATGGCCTCCCGTGGGCTTCCCCTGCCTGCAGCGATGACCCATGCTCTGTGAGGTGACCATGTCCTTTTCTCACCTCGCAGGTTATTTTCTGTAGGTATCCTTGCTTCTGTGTGTGAAAGGGATCCTGGGGTAAACCCGCGGACCCATCCTGAGGTAAAACTGAACGGCTGCCACCGCCACAGCGCTGTGGCTTTGCTGCAGCCTTTAAGTGCTCACCGTGCCCCAACCGCCTTGTCAGAGTTTACTTTTCCCCGGGCGGGGCTCAGACTGACCAACTACTTCGATAATTGTGAAAGCACTTTAAAAAAAAAAAAAAAAGTTTCCTCACTTCCAGCGTGCGGCCTGAGGCGTGGAGACCGGCGCTGCCCTGGCGGGCTCAGCGCAGCCTCCACAGTCCAGCCCCGTCAGGGCCGGGCTGCGGGTGCCCTCTCGCCGTCCTGCCCGCCCTTTTTCCTTCCCTCCCTCCTTCCCTGGGAGGCCGGGCGGGCTGAGGGGGAGCCGGGGCGGGACCGCCCGAAGGGAGGGCGGGCGCTGCTGGCGACCCGGCCCGGGGCTTCCCGCAGGAGGCAGCGGCACGGCGGGGAGCCTGGGCCCCGCCCGGGGGCTGCTCCTCGCCGCCAGGCTTGGGGCCGGCCGGGGTGGGCGAGGGGACTGTGGGGCTGCCTGTCCCCGTCCCTGTCCCCGTCCCTGTCCCCGTCCCCCTCGGCTGTCAGGCCGCTCGAGCGGCGGGGCTGAGGCGGGATCGTGCTTCTCCCGAGGAAAGGCAGCGAGCTGTCCGGGCGCCATGCCGCCCAGGGGCCGGCTGCCGGTTCCTCTGCCGAGGGACATGGTCCTGAGAGACACCGAGGGCAAAGTCTGGAGGCTGGGCAGCCAGATCGGCCAGGGAGGCTTTGGTTTGATCTATCTAGGTAAAACGCCGGCGGTCACTAACAGGGGCGACGTGAATTGCTTTTAACTTTCTGACCTGACGAGGTTTGAACAGCTTGTTGCTGTTTCCATGCCGGCCAGGGGGGTTTCTGGCTGGCTTCTGCCCCCCTCTGTGGGGTGTCCTTGTTCAGAAGTTTGCTGGGGGACCCCCACGTTGTCCCTGGGTGTGCTGGCACGCCTGGAGATGCTGTGCAGTGAGGCTGGAGCTTCTGCCAGCAGCCACGGCGGGCGTGACGGGGTTCTGGAAATGTCTCCTGCTAAAATGTAAAGTCAGTTTGCATCAAAGGAACATAACAACAGCAAAAGCTAGCAGGGTGTTGCCTCAGGATTAGAATTTTATTTCGCACCAGAGGCGTGAGTGCCGTTCTTCATTTGTGCTTTCCTAGATGTGTTGCCGTATTTTCTTCAGAAGGAGCGGCTGCGTTTCACTTGGTCGGTGTTTTATAAGCAATGAATTGTTCCGAAAGGCAGTTTGTAAAGTGTTCTGGGTCACTGGAGAAGATAATGATACGTGTTGCCGGTCCTTAGGAAAGAGCAAGTGCTGTTTTCAAGGCAGTATTAGGAACTTTTTTTCCCTCCATTGCACTGCTTGTGTACAGTGGGTACAGGCAAGCTATCCGTAGTGATCTGTCAGGGACTGGTTTGTACTTGTTCTAAGGTAGTGGTAAAGACTTACCTAGAAGCAGTTTAGTACATCATCTGTGGAGCCAAAAACGATCCTATGAAGTTAAAAGTATGTTAACTCTGTATTTGGAGTAGTAGTGTTTAAAATGATGAGCAGGCCACCTTAATACTTAAATTGATTTCCTTTTATGTATAAATCAGCTATATTTTTAAAAGTTTTTCCTTTCTTCTGTATTTCTGCCCTGGAAAATACAGTTGCTGCCTTTTTTTGTAAATTTTTCTTTACTTCTGCTAGTGCCATTTGTTTTCCACTTCTGTTTTTTTTCCCACTTTATCTCTTAATGCTATTTCCTTCATACTGAGTGATGCATCAAGGAAAAAAAAAATGTTATACAGCATGAACTTTCCACCTAGTGCGATTTCCAGATTTCTTTATGAGGAGACCAGTTTTCACTACAGTAGGCATCCTGTCCTGCATCTCAATTCTTTTGTCTTTAGTATGAAAAAAGATGTTCTGCACGCAGGTTATTCTCTGCACAAATGTGCAAGGCTGTGCTAGATTCAGTGTGGTTTCATGAAGGTGAAGATGTCTGTCAGTGTCAAACTGTAGGATCAGGCACCAA